ACTTCACACTTGTTGGAAGGATCTATTGCAGCAAAATGAACAAGCTTTGCTTCTAGCATAAGATGTAGGACATGACTTCACAAGGCAGAATGAAAGCACCATGCCAGGGTAACATCACAGACAGTTTTAGCAGAAGAGACAAGAAACAATAAAGTGATAAACCAACTTACTAACACAGTTTGTATTAATTAAGTCATTATATGAAGTGTATTACTCACTGTAAACTATCAGTGTAGTTTATTCTGCCCAAGGGTAATGCCATCCTGTAGGGTCAGGTTTTGATTTCAAATTGATATTGTTAGCAGCAAAGTACAAACGGGGGGAAAAGCAGCCCAGGAGGTTTCACTGTCAAGTCTTTGGTCACTGTGTGTAGGATACCCCAGCATAGCTGAATGTTACAAATAAACCTGATGATGAGGGAATGCTAATGTTGGCTACTAGGCTTTCTGGTCTGCCTAGTTATAGTTTAAAACAGCTGCCAAGCTCATGGGTCTTATGGGCAGGGTAGGAACATCCAGATGGCAAACATGACCACACAGAGAACTTCAGAGCTAACTGGTCAGCAACATAAGCTACATCTAATTCACACAAAGTGCCAGAGAGCAGCTGCCTCCAGCTCCAGCCGAGATTCAGCCCAGTGAGCTGCCGTGCAATGGTCATTAGTTCTCCTTCACAGGGTCTGCGTTTGTATTATTAAATAAGACAACAGCTGCAGCTTCGGAATGGACGGCTTTTACTGATTTTATACGATTTCACACCGACCTCAACACCTGCTTTTCCCATAAAATAATGACCCTTTCATACAAAGGCTATAAAGTCTGACGTCAGACTACTCTGTTTTATTATCTATTTTTCACCAAAATATTCAGTCTCCGTAGAGACTGTCAAAAATTGCCAATGCCGACTATATTTCAAGTCGTCATGGCGGGGTATTGGGAAAAGTTTTCAATTAGCAATAATCGCGCCTCGGATTAACCTCATTGGCTACGATACTGCCACTGCGCAAAGCTGACTCCGTCCTC